CTTTAATAAAATTGTCTAAAAGCCATTAAAATTTGAATACTTCAAAATTTATTAACACTTCTAGAAATTTTTAATTGAATACACTGTAACTTATAGAAACTTTTTAAAAGTTTCAATAGAATACATTAATGCTTTCAAAGAATTTCAAAAAATCTACATTGAATACTTCAAAATTTTTAAATCCTAACAAGTTATTAAAAATCTCAATTGAATATACCTCATTTAATATCCATTTAACTGCAAAGTTCATTGTTTTATATTGGAATACTTAAATTTTTACTTTAATCAAATTAATTTTAATTACTTAAATTACATTATTTAAATTAAGTTTATTACTTAAATCAAAGCTCGCATATATAAATGTAAATTTATTATAATTATATTATATTATATAATATATTAAAGGTTTCATTAAGATAATGGTAGATTAATTATAATATAAAATATTGTTTATTATAGTTTTAATATAATTATATATGTAGTCGAGTTTCAATTTTAAGTGATTAAACTTTTACACGAAAATGAACTCTATACTTAAAAGAAGACTACACGAAGTTAAATTGTGATTAATCTATTATTAACATTGCTGTGTAATAATATATTATAATATTATTTCATACGTACATGTATATATATTATTTTATTTATTATTTATATAATCGAGCTTCACTTAAAATCAACATTCATCTACTTTTATAATGATATTATAATTGCAATATATATAAAGATAAAACGTATAGATGGATGAAAAACGTTTAATTTACGATTTTTTCTCAATATAACATTGTCAACATTTTTATTCAAAGATTATAAATTGCACATTTAATTAATAAAGATAATATAATGATTTAAATTCAAAGGACAATAATTGAAAAGGAAAAAAAAATGCTTAAATGTGATCAACAGTTAGGAGGAAAATAATTAAAGATGGAAGAAATTATCCATTAATTTTAAAAACTTTACTAATTACTCCTAGTAATTAGGAGTTACTGACGATTCCTGTATTTGTATCCACCTCACTAAAAATAAGTTTTACAACTCACTTACTCATTTTTCACTAAAAACTAAATTTTTAAGTATTAATAAAAATTAATATTATGTGTTATGAAAAATAATTAATGTAGTATTAAATATTTTAATATTATTATTGCATGATCATTATTGTATAAGTATAAAAATTGATGGTAATTCAGTTATTTATTAAATATAAATATAAAAAAAGAAAAATATTTTTATCTCGATACGTTTAAATGGAGAACTTTTATTCATCCATTTGTATTAATCCCATTTAAAATAAAATTAAGACTTTATTTTAAGATTTTTCACTTCTATATCTATTTTGAATGTAACTTTGATTTTTAATTTAAAATAAATATGCTATAGATTAATATGATGAGTGTGATTAGTACATAATTTTTTGTTTCTAAAATATTATCAATTGCTTTACTTTAAAAATATCACGCATATCATTTATTTCGTACACAAGATGTGTAACGCATGTGTCTACTACTAGTATCATAAAAAAAAGGAAAAGTATCAAAATGTTTATTTAAGTATTAACCCACAAGGCAAACATTTCTTGAGTTATATAGAATACAATTTTGATTGTTACAGTACACTACCATCTCTCTTTATGTTAAAATGGATAAAGAAAACAAAAAATCTATCTAATGCATCTCCAATGCTACAATAGATTGCTTAAAAAATAAGGCTAATAAGCAAAGTAGACAATGTAAAAAATAAAAAATAAAAAAAAAATCACCTTAAATGAATGTGACTTATTTAGTTGACGTTACAAATGAAAAAATATACATTATTTAAATATAGAGACTTTGTCAGACGAGATGAGTTGGTATAGTTTAAACTTTTTCTCACGTTTCTTATTTTTCTCTTCTATTTGCGGTTTTCCTGTCTCATATTGAATAAGTTTGAGTCACATAATTCATTATTGATGAAATTTGAACTTGACCATTTATTTGTATGCTACGTAGATTGTAATCCATGAATCCATCGATGCTGCTCTTAGGTTTGAGGGACCGTGAGCTACGTCATGTGCAGGCCCATTTACACAAGGTACAACCCAGCCCAAGGCTGGTTCCAAGTCCAATGGACTGTGCAAAAGCATAAAGTAATTGATGTATCGTACATTGCGCTTTAATAGTTGTACATAGCGAGGGATTCTGTTGCAAATATGACGCTTTTGGTATGCGTAACTTCCCCCGGACTAGCATCGGATTCCTCTTCGACCCACCTTTCGAAATTCCTACCTTCTTAAGAAAACCCTAGAGGTATGCAATCTATAATATGTTTCTGTTTTACACTCGCGCAATCTTGTTCCTATGTTTTGTTAATTAATATGAAAGTTGATTCTTAACAACTTGGCAGTAATTCTTTGACGTGTGTTTTATACATTTACTTGAAAATTTTGGTAATTTGAAGGTTTTGTTTATTTTTGTTAGTGAATAGTGATGCAAAAGTGAGTCTTGAGGAGCCATTCTGACTGGATTTCTGTAATTCCGTTGTTTTGTCTTTGGAGTCTTCTTTTTGAACTCTTTCTAGATTTTCATCAAGTATGTATTACTGTTTGCTCAATTCTGTTTACCGAGGGCATAATTACGAGCTGACTTTTGGAGCTTCTGTTCACGTTAGGAGTAATTCATGCTCTATGATTCGGATGTAATACACAGTATCGTACTTCTCATTGGAGATAAAATTTGTTCATTATAAGAACGAGGCGAGGGAGCTGTTTGGCACGTATGAGAGTCTGTTAGTGGAAATTTTTGTGCATTTTTTTTCTTATTTTCCCAGCTCAACTTTTTGCCACCTAGTTATACTTTTGTCTGTGAAATTCATATACTGAAGACCCGAATTTACTCAAGCATAGGGTGTCCCTTGGCATCATTATTGCTTTTCATTTAGTCCTTTAAATGCGACCCATGGAAATAATGTTATTTATTGGACATTTCAGCGATATCTGTTGCTTTTGGAGCATATGGGTGACGCCTCTGATCAGCTGCTTCCTCTAGCAACTCAACCACTGCCAAATTCTTCACGATTCTCATCTGATGAAAATGCTTTACCCCCTCAGGAGTCCGTTCATCCTGACCATAATGGTCGTGATGCTGGGGCCAGTCTTTTTCCTCTTCCCTTTTCAAATGCATCCACCTCTACTCCCTTCCCTACTTCTCTTCAACAGACGGGCCCACCATCTCAGTTGAATTATCTTCTATCCAATGGTTCTGAATTAGCGTGCTCGCAGCCTCATGCTAGATCCAGCGGTTCTTATGTGCAATCTGAGTGCAATAATGACATTGAAGCTGCTGCTCAGAATGCCATGCTACAAGAACAAGTATGTCCATTTTAAATGTAAGCTTCAGATTTAACTGTTTCAGAGATGCCTTCTAGTAATAATCGCGTTTCTCTATGCCATGTCAGGAAATTGCCACCCAAAAGATTATTCAGAGCCAAAGGTTTGTCCCGACTTTCTTACATAAAAACCTGAGCTATAAGCAGTTTGTTTAGTGTGGAAATTGATGTTCATAAGTATGGATTTGTCCGAACTCAGAGAATCAACTGCTGCGAGTGGACCTCCTGAGGACAGTAAGGACATTTTGTCTGGACGTCATGACCCAAATGCTCTAAAGGTGTTTCAATCTAGTCATCCTTTTTTTCTTAACCCCTTTCTGCTTCCTATTCATTGCTGGACCATCTTTCCATGTGCCTAAAGGCGTTGGATGATTTACTCGACCATGTTTGGTTTCATGATTTTTATTTTCACAGGAGCATCTATTGAAAATGACCACACAACATCGAACAGAAATGACTTTAAAACGTGGGAAGCCTACATTTAAAGAGGAAGGTTAGACCACTAGTTTAGACTATTTTCTACTTATCTTTTATTCTGGATAGTTGTAGATGCCATCATGATTTACTATAAAGTATCTTAGAGGCCCTAAATAAAATGCTTGAAGAGAAGAAAACTCATTCCAATGCCTAATCCAGGATGTTTTAAACTGTGGTTGGAATGTTTTAAACTGTATTATTTTTAGTGAGAACGACTGACTTACAGTTATTCTCTTCATAAAGGAGTAGCTATCAAGCTATATCAACTTACGTTCAAGTGCTTTTTCCTGATTGTGGTTTAGGAATGTGAACCTAATCATTTGCATCTAGTCTATATGGCTTAAATATACAGCATTATAAATAATAAGTGGGCAAAAGCCCTTTCTGGTCCATAATGCAAACTTTTTTAATCGAATGCTATCCCTTGAAAAGAACAATTATTGTTTTCGTTTTGAATTTTTGCTAGGTAATGTGGAAATTGGAAATGGATATGGTGTGCCAGGTGGAGGTGCTTACTATGGCACTTCAGTAAACAATGTAAATACCCATGGTAAGAATTTTTCCATGTTTGATTTATCCAAGTATTAAAATTTGTAAGCCCACCATTTCTTCTCAATACCTCAGAAAATTTAGCAGTTGAAGGTAATAAAACAAGTCAAAAGAATACAGAGTTTAGCATAGAATCTGAGCGGAAGTCAGAGGCAAAAGATTTGCCTGAGTATCTCAAGAAAAAGTTAAAAGCAAGGGGTATTCTGAAAGATGATTGTATTTCAGAGAATCTCCGCATCTCAGAAAACGTAGGTTCACATTTTTTCCCTTTGTGTTTTATTTCTATATCTAGTTCACATTTTGCATAGGGTCGTGTTCTGAGATAATTTTTGTTTATGCTGCTCTTTTATGTCCCATGTATTACTGTCGATATTTTCTGATCAAATAACTAATCTTTTAATAAGTAGATTATGAGTCTTATTTTAATGCTTGTTATCTCAACATTTTTCTTGGAACTTTGTATTGTAGAGCTTGGAGATTGCGCCACCTCAGACCACTGTGCCTGGGAATTTGCCGCTAGGATGGGTGAGTGTCAATTGCCAGTCTTTTGTAATTTTTGTGAATTACTAATATTTGCAATTCTTTTCGTCCTGGATTGGAACGAAATAATTAGAATTGGAACTATAGACGTTAAAATCAGCTTATTTTTTAAGTGACAAATATATCTATTTATAAACCATTTGTCTGTTGAATATATTTTTCATTACCCTATTTATTAATTTGTGCAATAGGTGTTAAGACTTAAGAACCATTTGACGAAAATATACATAAGCCTATCCATGTACGTGAGAAGTCTTCTTATAATGTCTTGCAGTCAGAAAGCCAGAGTTCAATTTCTTGTTTGAACATTTTATGATGTCAAATGCCTCAAGTTTCTTAGCCTCTAGAACCAGAAGAGAAGGAAAATATACTTTCCAGACTCTATGGTTTTTCTTTGCTATGCATACAATCTAAGTTGCGTTGTAGTTTGACTTATCAAGTATGAGACTGTTATTTTCTTATTAAGCTAGGTACCTCACCTTATATTCCATGCTATTAATTCCCAGCTCTTCCATTTTTCTCTCTCAAATTATTATGTAGATTGAAGCAAGGGACCCTGAGAATGGTGCTTTGTTTTATTATAACCAAATTTCTGGAAGAAGTCAATGGGAAAGACCTATTGATACTGGTCCTAGTTTGGTTTCAGTGACACCTTCTCTACCAGATGATTGGCAAGAAGCGTTTGATGAAACAACGGGTATGATCTATATCTGTTTGTTACTGAGATATTGCATTTTATGGAAATAGAAAGAAATAACAGCCTTATAGCATTTCAAAGTTGCGAGAAATCTGTGCTGCTATTTGCTATTAGCAGTTAAGTAAATAAGATTGGTAAAGCTTTAGTAGGTGAAAAGTGCAACTAACTGAATGTCTTTGTTCTTTTCCTTTTTCTTTCAATGTGATACGCATGGGCCTGTTTGATGTAGATTTTTTTGAGAATGAATTTTGTGAAAAGTGATATTTTTGGAGAATGTATGATTAAAAAGTATGGAAAATTTATGGGTCACTGTGCAAAATTATTTTATTAGGAGTATGCGTGGTTGAGAACAAGTTTGAGAAAAAAATGAGTTTTAAAGCATTTGTACCAAACATGGGCTATATTTGTTGACTTTCATCTGACCAACTAGTGGCCTTAGGCATTGATTCTCTTGACTGCTAATAGTAAGAAATATTCTAATAATAATATTTGGCCTTAGGCATTGATTCTCTTGACTGCTAATAGTAAGAAATTTTCTAATAATAATATTATGCCCTTGTTTGAGCCCCATTTTCCTCCAAACCCTTCTTCAACTACATATTCTCTTAATAAAATAATATTATACGCAAACCTAAAACCTTTTCCTACTTTTCAGACAACATTCTCCAAAAATTCACTATTCCAAAATCTATTTTTACCAAATAATGGGGCTCAAACAAGGGCTATATGAGTCAACAGAGTTTCACTTTCTAATTTTGAAGCTTCACTAAGAAAAGACATATCAAGCATACAATATGGAATGGAGGAAGTATAATTTATTTAACTGGAAGTATAATTTATTTAACTTTCTAATTGTAAAAGTTCTTGATATTAATTTTTTTATGTACTTAATTTTTTTATACCATCACTTTTCATAGATTATATAATTAAAATATTGTTACCAAGACAAGTAAGCTTGACTGAAAGTTTGTTACTGCTAAATTTCACCTTGTTTCACTTATAGATCTTTTCTTTTGGGTTGAATAGAGTTGGATTCCATGAAAGTAACATATTCAACAATTTCATCAACATAATTGTTGAGTTTTGGGAACTTATTTTCTCTGATTTCTGTAGTAGCGTATTTGGAATTTTTTCTTTTCAACAAATATGATTTCATTTATAGTTTTCTCATATTTATCTCAAACTATCTTTGTGTCGAAAGTAAATCTTCTTTGAAGAATACTGGGAATAGCTTCTTTCGCGATATAAGAGCTATTCACTGTTCTTCTTCTTCTTTCTTCTTTCCTTCTTCCTTTCTTTCATTTTTTTTTTTTTGAATGCTTATTCTTGTTTCATTTTTCTCTTTCCACTTGTATATGACAGAAAGAACTTTGAATGACTTGTACATGTTTTTGATCATTCAAAAAAATAAAAAGCTAGTAAATCACCACAATTCATCAGTCATGTTTTAGTATATGAATCATCAATGAAGCGTACACAGTAAGGTTTTTGTTTCTTTATCCCCCTTCCCATTTCCTACACCAAACTTTAGAAGAAAAAAAAATAAGTTTCTTCATTTATTCGTCCTGTCAAGTTTTGTTTCATGACCTCAGGAAGACTGATACATTTCAGCTATTTGTGCTAACAGGTCAAAAGTATTACTATAACAGGAAGACCAATGTGTCGCAATGGGAGCATCCAGGAAGTCTTCTGCAGGTTACCCCTCAACATCATGAGAGAACTGTCTCCAGTAATGCTATGGAAGGGAATCGGGGAGCTCAGGCTAGTAATGCTATGGAAGGGAATTGGGGAGATCAGGTTAATAATGCTATGGAAGGGAATTTTGGAGCTCAGGCATCTATGTTGCCGAAATGCATGGGTTGTGGTGGGTGGGGTGTGGGGCTATTACAGTCGTGGGGTTACTGCAACCATTGCACTCGGTTCGTTTATCCCTTGCCTATTGCATTCATTTTACTACTATATGCTTAAGTAAATCAGACAAACTTAATTTTCTTGTTGCTGATTTAAACTTTTGTCCTCCACACGTCCCCTCGTGCACACCAACTCATTTTTCATGAAGGGTTTTCAGACTTGCACATTTCATGAAGGGGTGGCGGTGAATCAGGACCTTTTCATGATCTTATTCTACGGAACTATCTCATCTAAAAGCTTAAGTTGTAGATAGGACAATCTTTTTAATTTAAATTTATGTCTTCAACAACCTAATAATGAAGAGAAGATTAATCAATGCCGCCGTCTGGCTCTCTAGTAAAAAGATTCATTTGTAGCATTATCCAGAGAAACTACTATAGATAGGCATCAATATATGTCGATCAGTTTGTCAAGCGAGAGAGATTTCTTATCCAGACTATATTATGTTAAATTATGTTACAAGAAACCTGTTGTAGGTGTGTTACATTAAACAAACATCATCTCTGGGTCGCAATAGTCATGATGACCACCCATCTAATGTATGTAATTAAATGGACCGCCCTTTGTAATTTCGGTTAATTAAACACAAACTTCCTTAATTACTCAATTGTGAAGTTAAATAGTGGATCACAATACATGAGCCCCTCTAATCTACCTTTTCAACCGAGTGCAATTTATTTATTTTTTTATTTTTGCCCAATACAATAGTTAAGGCATAGATGTCAGTAAGTAGTTGATTTACCAGAAGTACGTCAGGAGAGTGGTCTAAAAATGTTATTACACAGTGGCGAGGATGAAATCTTATTTTATATATTTATTTTTTGGTAGATTTCTATAATACAATAAGTACAACTGTATGAGGGTAATATGGTTGTGAATTTATCTTGAAAGGAATTATGAGATTTTCCAAAATAAATTCACTCTTCTTGTTGAACACTGTATTGTTCCTTTAGCCTGTTTATGGACTAGATCATGACGTCTTTCCGTTGAATCGTTAATGGATGTACAACTTTGGAGTCATTTCTTTACCTTTTGATTGTCTCATTGATAAAATTCTGCCATTCTCAGAAAAAAATGGTTAAATCTTTTCTTTGCAGACTTCTTAATCTTCCACAATGCCAATACGTATCAACCAGTGTAGAAAGCCAACAGCATACCATCACGGCTGCCGGAAATAAAGGAGACTCAGACAAGAGATCTTTCAAGAACAGGTAATTCCTTTCTTCTACTGGTTATAACACATGCAAGCACCTTCGATCTTCAGTTCATGCCATTCACGAGGAAACATGTATATTTTTTTCCATTTTTTTATCTCGAAGGTACTGGTGTCATAAATTTTGGTAGCAGCTGACCTGTCTTATGTAGCCCAGATGTTAAGAAAAATGGGCATTGAAATTAGGATCTATTTACTTGTTAAAATGTCATTTACTACATTACTCCATTTTGCCTTAAATATCTTCTTTTATATAGGCTTTAGATTCATTTAAGATATTTGAATTTTCTTTAGCTTTCCAGTGGGAAAATAAATCATATGTTTCAATCCAAGATTCTAACTTGTTATATAAGGACTGTACAATTTGTAAAAGATCATTTTTTTGCTGTGATAGTGAAGAATTCAAATTGTATATATATATCGATGTTTTTCAGAATAATTCAACTTCTTAAGTTGATATTTTTCCAACCTCAAACCCTTCATACCATTCCGTGTACACAAGGTTCGATGGCATTTTTTTAACAATTTGTGTTTGCAGAATCTTAAACACTACGCTTACAAATATGTTGAATTGTAATGGTTTAAAATACACTTGAAAGTTGAAATTCTATTTAGCTTCAGTGGAAATGTTATATAATCAATAATTCAAGTAACAGGCGGAATTGGCGTGAAATTGTTTTTATCATTTGTAGCTTGATGTGGTCAAAATTGAGTTGTCATCTCGGATCAACAGGTCTGATATGAAACCCCCACGTGGGATGAGCTATAAAAGGGACAACAGGAAGCGTGCCTATTCTGAGGATGACGAGTTGGACCCTATGGATCCAAGCTCATACTCAGATGCTCCTCGTGGTGGTTGGTATGTGTTACTTTTCTCATTTCTGGCAGAGCGAAATATTATCTTTTTGGTGCTTTCTATTTGTTCTTGATAATGCTTGTTAATATAATTGCTAATTTAAGAATTTGGTTTTGATAAACAGAAGTTCGTTGTTGAGGATGATTTAATTTGGTGCTGATTTTTTACAGGGTTGTAGGCCTTAAAGGAGTACAACCGAGAGCAGCAGACACCACTGCCACAGTATGTCGTTACCTTAAATTTTGTTATTTCAGAAGATTGGTTTATAATGTTGGTTTTCTTTTCGTTCTTTTTTCCTTTTTGACGTCCTTGCTCAGCTTTAGCTCATTAGGTCAGGATTCCTTTGCCATATGCATAACCACTTTTTTTGCAATTTCGAATTTCAGGGTCCTCTCTTTCAGCAGCGCCCTTACCCGTCACCCGGGGCAGTCTTACGTAAAAATGCTGAAATTGCTTCTCAAAAGAAAAAGCCCGGCTCTCAATACGCTCCTATATCGAAGAGAGGGGATGGAAGTGATGGGCTCGGGGATGCTGACTGAACAATGCAATCGTATTGATGCACATCATCGAGTTTTCCTTAGGACTCTCTTAAGTTGATCACTAAGTTCACAAAAGAATCCAATGATACTATTGTGGATGAATACAGCAAAAATTATGATTCCAGTGTTACTTTTTTGTTCAAGTCAATTATAATTAGTTCCATTAAAAGCTGGAAACAAGGTGTGAGGTCGAGCTCAAGGTTTTGTTGATAGAATTGTGAGCTTTTACTGCAGAATGTGAATTAAGAATAATGTTTTATGACAAGGAATGAAATTTTGTTGGATGGTTACGAATTATAGTTTGATATTTATCAAGTGGTGTTCATATCTTGCATACCAAAATGGCTATATGCATTCCAACCAGTCTTGTTTATACATATAAAACAAACCTTTAAATGTTAATTGCTTATAATGCCTATTCTTCTCGTGCTTTTTACAAAAGTTCTTGGCCTTTTTTCCTTTGCTTCATATCAAAATGGATCTTCTATGAAAAATCTTGTACTTCTCATGTAATTGAAAAGTGATATGATTCCTTTGCTTCATATCAAAATGAATCTTCCATGAAAAATCTTGTACTTTTCATGTAATTGAAAAGTTAAATGAACCGCGTGCAAGATACTCAATACATCAAATTTTAGGATACATTTGATGCATAGAATTGAACACGATTAAATTATATTATCAGAAGTCTCTTTACGCAAGTACAATTTACAGTAATATTTTTCCTACATTTTCCATTAGATCAAGTTCTATATATTGATTGCATTAGACGTGCCATTGATCGGACAATGCACAAAAATCTTATATCTTTCTTCCTTGATACAATATATGTGATCACGGGTTCATTACAACGTTGTAGTAGTCCAGTGTCATATTGACAAATATTTATCACATATAGTACCACTCTTCAAAATTTTTATCAGACAATTTGAACTATTTGAAGTTATGTAAAAGAAAGATTTAATGGAGAATCTAAACATATGCAATAAATATATGTTACTGTAATGGTGATGTATATATAATTGATTAGAATTACTATCAGGATAATTAAGTCCATTTAACAAAAGAAAAAATGAAATATGTATAGACGTTGACATCTGATGACCAGTATCTAGATATAATTTACTTATTGATTTTATTTTATTTGTTTAAAACATGTTTCAGTTTTACTAATTGATTAATAAGCTAAAAGAATTTGGCGAGTCTTTGGTTAAACAGAAGTACTAATTGAGTAACAAAATTACGAGGACACTAGGATTGAGGCGAATCACATCTATATAACCGGCATACGAACGTGAATGTATTTAATATTTTCAAGTCAGATATTGAAAAATAATTTAATTTTCGCCGTCTTGAAATCGAGACATCTAATCTTTAGACTTTTTAATTTTTCAATGCTCATGGTCACTTCTAAGAAATTCCTTCATACTAATTTAAGTTCATTTGTTGCTAATCACATTCACTTAAGGGTGTTAAATAAGCGGAGTCGAATCAAGCCAAGCCAAGCCAAGCTGCTTTGCTTACCTTTGGCTCGACTTAACTCGCTTGGTCCACCAAGCGAGCTGGCTCGCGACTCGCGAC